TTTACTTCACTACACTTCACTGCACTTACGCACTCTTCACATCCTCACCACAATTTGCTTTAATTCACTTCACTGCATTTACGCACTCTTCACATCCTCACCGCAGTTTACTTCACTTCACTTCACTGCACTTACGCACTCTTCACATCCTCACCACAATTTACTTCACTACACTGCACTTCACTTCACTTCATTTCACTTCACTGCACTTCACTGCAGTTTTGTATGATTTCCCCCACACTTTCACTTCGCCTTATTTATCACTTTCCTAATCCTTTTCCTAAAATTTCTTTCTTTACAGGTTTACTTCCAGGCTGCAAAAATACAAACTACTCATGAAGAACCTGTCATATTGTTTAGACCGAAACTGTTCTATAATATCATGAAGTAAATATTTACTTGTTTTTTTTAATTTTATCCTATTTACTTTTTTTTTTTTTTGCTTAGCACTTTAAAGCCCAGTTGTTGCTATATATACCAAGTGTAATTAATCTGTATATTTCACATTTTGAAAAATAATAAACCTATGCCATATTTCAAAAGGTAAGAAGAGTTACGGAAAATTAAATAATCTGTTTGCTGTCATTGAATCACGTGAGGTTCCCATGAATACCCCCGCTTCAGAGACGGTCCATCAATAGAAGTTGTTTTTAGCAAGGGTCTAGTAACTATTGTTAAACATTATTTTTCATCGGAATCATGACATTTAATTTATTATGAGCGATCTTAGGAGCCCTAGGAGCGTTCTGCCGATCACAGTGACCGAGCGGTCTAAGGCATGAACCGTTTTCGTCCGCTCTAACACTGGGAACGTGGGTTAGAATCCAATTCAAGACACGAATGTCTGTCTGCGTTTATTCTGTGTTCGTGTTGTTTTGTATGTAGCTAGCGGCCTTGAGACGGGCTGATCCCTCGCCCAAGGAGTCTTATCGACTATGTACAGGATGAAGAAACTGAAAAAGCGGCCAAAGTCCGAAGGGCTACAGAGTCAGAGAACGAGAGAAAACAAAAATGAGAGTTCTGAAAACATACAATTGTATTTAAAACAAAATTTAACGTCATATTCTTTATTCTAAAGCTTCTGAGAGTTGCGACATCATAATATTAAATTAAATTCAATATATGAATTTTTCGAAATATTTCCTACAATTTCAGTGAGGTTACATGTCGTTTTTGCTTATGTTGAAATTTAATAGTGATGCATGCTTGTATACGTTTATTGCCTCTATTATTGTAGCCCGGACGATCAACGTGTTGGAGTTCGAGTCCCGGTGGGCGCAAGAATTTTCACTTCTCCATGACGTCCAGACCGTCTCTGGAGTCCACCCAGCCTCCTATCCAAGGGGTACTGCGGTAAAGCGGCTAGAGCGTGAAGCTGACCACTAACCTCCAACTAGTGCCGAGGTCAAGAAAATGTGGGTCTATACATCCACTCCACCATACGTCTTCATGGCGTAGTGCTTAATTAGTTAAGCACAGGTACAAATTTACACTTTTTCTTACATATTATTGTAGCTCAATGAACTTAAATTTTAAGTCGTTTTATATAGTGCCTCGTGGTATAATATATGGGTCTTGAGAGAAAGAAATTTCCGACTGGGCTCCGGATGCCTTAAGGGACAGGACTATGGGCCTAAATGCAGTAGCGCAAATATACGTATTTCCTCCCCAAACCCACACAGAAGAAAACGTATTGTGGCACGTCTATTGAAAGCCAGAATAGTGAAGTCAGCAGAGACAGCAGTTTCTAGGGAACGGCTCTGAGAGTATGCTACCTGAAGATACTTGAGCAGCTGAGCAACTTGAGGCCTCACAAGCAGGGCTCACCACCATGA